CAGTTGGTAAAGGAACACAGGGCTGTTGTTCACTACGACTACTCTCCCCCTGAATGACAGACCCTTGGTAGTATAATTGATGCTAAAAAAATGTGACCTCCATAGAATTATAGACCTTTTTAGTTTAAGTACAATAACACTTGTAGCCTTTCTTGTTGGTTGAATACCCTATAAATATTATTTGACAGATTTGGGGTCTAATTTACTGCGGTGTTGTTTGTGAATATGAACAAAAACGGAGGAACCAAATAGTTTGGTAGGGACAACTGAAGATAGTACAAATATTTTGAAAGGAGCGAAGGAGGACATCAATTGGACTACGGAAACCCATAATACGAGAGGACATCCGATTTATGAGGTAGGCAGCGGTCAATGTTGTCTCGCCCCAATAACATTTAGGGACCGATGTGGTAAACATGAGACAACGGACTACCTCCAACAAGTGACCATTTTTCCGCTCGACAACCCCATTTTGTTGGGGAGTATCATCACACGTACTAAGGTGAATGATGCCATGTTGAGTAAGAAATGTTCCTAGGGAGGTGTTGAAAAAATATCGCGCATTATCTGTTTTGAGAGCCTGGATTTTTGTGTCAAATTGAGTGAGTATCATTTGATAGAATGCACGAAATATTGATCCTACATCGGATTTGTCACGCATAAGATAGATTCATGTCACCCGTGTGTGATCATCAATAAAGGACACGAACCATTGAGCCCCAGAAATATTTTTTTCACGAGGACCCCAGATGTCACTATGGATCAGAGAAAAGGGACGAGTGGGTCTGTATGATATACAAGGAAATGAAGTACGAGTGTGTTTGACAAGTTGACAAAATTCACAATTAAAAGAGGTAGGACTTTTATTAATAAACAAATGAGGAAACAGTTTCTCAAGGTACATAAAATTAGGATGACCTAAACGATAATGAAGTAACATGATTTCACTATCATTATTAACGCTGGAATGAAATACAGATGTACTAATCAGATTTAAGCACAACAAACTTGATACTGGAATACAATCGGTGGGTGAGACTAGACTGACAGAGGGTTTGTTGAGGAGATAGAGACCACTACGCAACTCAGCACTGCCAATCATCCTCGACTTTAAATCCTGAAATTCACAAATATATGGAAAAAATTTAGCAACACAATGACAATCATGAGTAAGCTTACTAATAGAGATCAAATTGCAATCCAAAGTAGGAACATGAAGCACAGAAGTGAGGAATAAATATGGAGAGATGCAGACAGAACCAAGACCAGCAACTTTGGAGGCTGATCTATCAACAATCCGAACAGTGAGGGTCGGATTACGCGACCGGTAATCCATCAATAAGGAGACATCACCGGTCATATGATCGGAGGCACCTGAGTCAACAATCCAGGAGCGAGAAGAGGTTGAATCCAAGTCGAAAACGGATGGGGAAATACCTGGTAACAAGGCTGGTGGCACCCGATGCCACACTAGTAGGCTAGACTGGTGATAACTGACCGAGCATCTTCTGGAGGGCATGAATTTGTTCTTCGTTGAATGAGCTCGTTCCTGGAGAGGCTTCGATAATGCTGGTGGCAGCGATGATCCTGTTTGTGTTTCCCATTGGCGGTTTTGCCATGAATCCGTCAACACGTATCCCGAGTATGACCAGAACGGCGATAGTGGTCACACCAAGGGCAGTCTTGGAGTTGGCGATTGTCTGTGGATGGAATATGAGCAGCAAGTGCAGACCCGTCGGGGGCTGTAATGGATAAGAAAACCCCTAACATGACCTTTTGGCGACTCTCTTCGCGGCGTATATTGGAGAAAGTTTCACGAATTGTTGGAAGAGGTTTTAAATTCAAAATCCGTGAGCGAGTCTGGTTAAACTCAGATTTGAGACCGAGAAGAAATTTGAAGGTGCGTTTCTGTTCTATGATTTGGCGAAATATGAGAGAGTCTTTGGGACACTTCCAAAGGTACACCTCAAATAGATCTAGTTGCTGCCAATACCGAGTAAAAGTATTGAAGTATTGGGTGACGGAGAGATCACCTTGACGAAAGTCATGAAGAATGGTTTCAACAGCAAATAGTTCGCTTGTATTGTCCGCACTAGAATAGGGATTTCTTTAGCCGTGCCATAGAGAAGAAAATTTTCGCTAATATCAAGTGTCATCAAGTTAACAAGCCAGACCATAACCATATTTTTCTCGGATTTCCAAGTCTTGTATGACGGATCTGTCGTCATCGGAGCTGGAGCATCACCAGTGAGGTAGTCATCTTTGCCTTTGCCGCATACAAACATCATGACTGACTGCGATCATTGGAGGTAATTCTGGCCGATGAGTTTGTGGCTGGTGATGAGGACAAACTTATTGTCTGAATTGCTGGGCAATGGAGACCCAGCCGCGGAGGGGTGGCTAGAAGTGACATCACTAGTGGAGGAGGAGTTGCAAGCATGACCGTACTTAGTCATTGGAGAGGAGAGGTGGCCAGTAGAATGATCAGAGATGAGGTTGCGCCGACGAGGAGCACGGTTGGAACTGGCTGTGTCGATCGCGGAAGAAGAGTCAAGAGCGCGGGATCGCGGGAGAGCGCGGACGAGCGCGAACGATCGCGGAGAGGCGCGATCAGTCGATTGGACGAGAAGCGGCGCTCGGATGCGGACGATTGGGGCAGGCGCAAACTAGGGCAGCGCTCGGACAAGGATGATCGCGGGAGAAAAGAGCTGTGATCGAGCGCGGGAGAAAAGAGCCGTGATCGAGCCTAGCGGGAGAGGCTTCCCTTTGATGGCTCTGATACCATGTGAATTTTGAATAATTCTTTTTCTCAATGAATACATAGATAATTCACCCATAAATAGGCGAGTACAAGAGATAAAAAGAGGAAAGAAATCTTCCTACAATTAAGTAATTCCTATAATTATGGAATAAACATAAATACCTATAATTAAGGAATTACCTTTTTTATACTATGACTAAATATAACAATTATTAAATAAAATTAAAGTAAATAATAATAAGGAGCGTAATTCCACATGCATGATAACCCCTTCATTTTCTCTCGTCAACCGTAACTCACCTCTTCGCTCATCACCCACTCATTCATAATCACTTTGGTTAACTTCTTTGCTTGTGGCAGCTCTATGTGGCCGATCTTGCAGGAGTCAATCTTTTATATTCATATCCGACTCAATCCCCACTATTCTCATCATCGGTTGACCCTCAAGTTATGACTTAGGTTCCCCTGTTTTGGTTGATCTTTCGCTATCATCTTTTATGGTGGCCCTTGTTTCCCACTGTTCCTTCTGATTTTAATGTATATGTGGTTGCTTTCCTACTACTTGTACTCATTGGTCCTTCATCGATCAATACAAGCAACCCTCTACATCTTATGGTAAACTTGTTTTTATTCACACCTAAGTTGAAATTTTCAAGATAATACGCTGCTCTCTCTCTTTCTACTGTGGGATTTTTTTTTGGGCTATTCAAATACTATGATTATATGTAAATTTGGCATGATTATATTTGATTGGCGAGTTTTGTTGTCCTTATATTTTGAAGCGCATTATTTTCTTATACTTTTTTCATGTAGATGCTACCATCAATTTTTATGGTGGCCCTTGTTTCCCCGCGGTTCCTTCTGCTTTCAGTGTATATGTGGTTACTTTCCTGCTACTTGCACTCATTGGTTCTTCATCGATCAATACAAGCAACCCTCCACATTTTATGGTAAACTTGTTTTTATTTTCACTTCAGTTGAAATTTTCGAGCTAATACGCTACTCTCTCTGCTGTGAGGATTTTTTGGGGCTATTCAAATACTAAAATTATAAGTAAATTTGGCACGATTATATTTGATTGGCGAGTTTTGTAGTCTTTATTGCCCCTTTCAATTATATTTTGAAGCCCATTATTTTTTTTACTTTTCTCATGTAGATGCTTCCATGGGACTGGGTATCTGATGTGTATGTTAAAGTGACCTTTTTTTGACTTGTACCTGGAACAAACTTGTAACCTTCTTTGGATTGCTCTTCCTTGGCTTCATTTATGCTAATTTAACCAATCTTATATTATTTTTGTTATATTTTTCATAAGCCTTTGCTAGTAGATTTTATTACTAGGCTTTTTTAGATTGTGCGCGTATAGAGATCTAGTTGAGATGAATATTATTATTCCTCCGGATGAGGTGTGAATCCGTTCCTTTTGTGGCTATTAGCAGAATTTTAATTTTAAGGTGTGTCTTTCTGTTGTTCTTCTTGCCAAGTTTTGGAGCAAAACTACCTCTAGTTTGGAGGCTTACCTAGAACTGAGAAAAATAACTAGTATTGGTCCTTACATCTATGATTAATGGGATTTTAGAAAAGATTAGAATCTATTCAAACACGAAGTTTGCAACTAGTCGTACTTTTGCTCATGCTTGCACATAAAATTTGGAACTAACTCTAGGTCTTATCATGAAATTAGAGCATTTAGAGCCTTTTTCTGCTATCCTAAGGTCCAGGATGCGTTTAACTCGTCATTCACATGAAAGAAAATTGCTCCAAACCCACTAGATATGTTTGTTTTTTTTCTTCTTCTGAATTTTGAGGATGCTGATGACCCGTATTTTGAGCAAATTTATGATTTTAATGGTAATACTATGAGTATCAAACCACACTGGAATCAGAGGTTTCAAATTGTTCTAATCATGCACGGCTGAAAATAAAAAAAATTATCATCATTCCCCAAGGTTTATCAAGCTTCAAACAAGCTTTATAAACCAGAGTTTCTGAGGATTTTCTCTTCTGTCATACTTTTTCCTATGCTACCATATTATCTTTATTTTTTTGTTTTTGATTTTAATTTTTTATTGGGCAATGTTGTCTAACTGTTTCCTGTTATACTTATTGATTGAATGGTTATGGGATTTACATTGAAAAAAAAAAATTGTTTGGACCTTTATGCCATATAGTTAATCATTTAATGTTCATGCTAACATACCCGAGTTTTTGAGATCTGAGTTATATGATCTGATTATAGGTGCAAGATCGGTTCGATAAACTTAAGAAGCAGAAAGTAGCCGGTAGCTTTTCTGAGCAAGGTAAGGGCATGAACTATTTGAGCAACAGTAATTGCAATTTTTGGAAGCTTCTGTAATAGTTTGTTTGACCGTTTCATTGGGGCACACATTCAAACTTTGCTGATATAAAAACTAATAACTTCTTGCAAATATATAATTGTTTGACTAATTTTGTAGATGCCACATTTCGACGGGAAAAATATCTCTATGTGAAGAAAGGCGGAGAAAATTGAATTATCTTATTTCTTAATCAAATTACAATTCTTTTTCTTATATAATAAGTACAAGCTAGGGCAAACTTAATCCTACCATGACAACTTAGCAAAGACAACAATCAACAAAAGGAAAAAAATACAATATAATAAGAAATGAATAAACGAGAATAAATCTAAAACAAAAAACTCAAAATTCTACACTTTGCTTCAAGCTTGGTCATGTTGTAAAGACCCAACTTGATATGCAGATCAGCGAAGCTACCCGGAGGTAAATATTTAGTGAAGATATCGACAACTTGAAGATGAGTTGCAATATATATTAAATGAATAATGCCTCCATTGATCTTCTCCAAGATAAAATATATATCAATTTTAATGTGCTTGGTTTTGTCATGATGCACAAGATTCTTTGTAATACTAATGAATGTCATAAAATATCTTTATAGGATTGACCTTGAAGTAACTCAACTCATTTAATAATATTTGGACCCATATTCCTTCACAAATTCCCAGAGTAAGTGTTTGATACCCAGGTTCTACACTACTTTTAGAGACCACTGCCTATGTCTTGCTCCTCGATGTGACACGATTTTCCAAACATAAGAACAATACCTAGAGGTGGATCTTCTATATGTGAGTCCTCGTGCCCAACTGCATCAGTGTAAAACTATACCTTCATGTTGTTAGATTTTTTAAACAATAATCATCTGTCATGGGTCCTCTTTAAGATCTAAATATTTTTCATTTGGACTGTTCATGTGTTGACTTACTATGCCGACAAAATGAACAATATCATGTCCAGTGTGACAAGTAGATAATCTTACACACAAATCTTTGCTATCTACCAACGTTGTTTTTCTCCACATGAGTGTAACTTTTTGTTGAAATCCATGAGAGTTTTTATATATTTGTACCCCGACATTCTTGTTTCTTTTAATAGATATAAGATGCACTTTCTTTGGAATATCATAATACCCATCTTGAACCTGGTCACTTCCATTCCTAAGAAATATCTCTGCGTTCCTAAATCCTTATTTTTAAATCCAGTAGCAAAATCCTCATTAATCTTCCCAATATCTTTTTTTATGATCACCTGTCAGGATCAAATCATCTACATAGACAATGTGTATAACTTTCTCACCTTTCTATGTATGCTTTATGAGCAATGGATGATTTGTCGGACATTAGATGTTCCAATTAGACTTTATAGTATTGGCAAATTTATCAAACCAAGTCCTTGGAGATTGTTTTAGATGATAAAGTGACTTTCTTAGTTTACAAACTTAATATTTATTTGAGTAATTTTTCAATCCTAGTGGGATCTCCATATGCACTTCTTCATTAAGTTTTTCATTTAAGAACACATTTTTGATATCAAGTTGACGTAGTTCCCACTCTTTAATTCATTGTCAAGAAAAGAAGAACAAAGAACTCTTATAGTGTTTAATTTGGCTATTAGAGCAAGATTCTCTTGATAGTCTATCCCATAAGACTGATTGAAACCTCAGTCCACCAACCTAGCCTTGAACCTCTCAATGCTCCCATCTGATTTGTACTTGACTGTGAACGCCTGTTTGCATCCAATTCGTCATTTATACGGATGAAGCGTTGTAATGGTGCACGTGTCATTTAAATCAAGTGCTTGGATCTCTTCTTCAACCATCTTTTTTCATTCTAGACTTTAAAGTGCTTCATGAATAGATTTGGGTATCTGCACATTGTCAATATTAGATACAAATGCTTTATAAGTTAATAACTTTCCATAGACAACATAATCTTAGATAGGATAATTTGTGCAACTTTCTCTGTTTTGTTCACTGGATTTCACTTCCCTTGGAACCTTAGAGATGTGTGAATTTAGGGTTGGTTATGAACAATCCTGTGGTTGTATATTATCTTTATCCTGCTCAGTGGATTTTTTCTCCCAGTATACACATTGATGTGAATCAAATTTTTGATATTTTCCTTCATAAATTTTCTGCTTTATTTTTTCTTATGATGAACTTTTACTTGTGAAAGGTATTTTGGTCGTGTTTTGCAGGAAATATGTGCCTAATGCGTTTTTGGGAGCAAAATCAGTCAAAATATCCAAATGGAGCACGACACACCCGTGCTTGGTTTGGCACACCCGCTTCTGATAGGCAAAGCATGTGGTAGGCCTACGCCCCGCGCTTCCTTTCGAATGCCTAGCGCACCCAAGCCCGAATAGCCTGTACACGCTAATATTGTGAGCACGCAGCATGCCCGTGTCACCTAGAGCCACATTTGTGCAAGCCTTCTGGCCTCAATACTCGATTTCGCGAATTGATAAAATTGAAATGATTATTGCCAAAACTTGAGTTCTAACTATAAAAGAATATGCAATTAAAGTTTCAGGAGCTCTTGGCTGCTGGAGGCTTCCTATTTTATAGGTTGTAGAGTATTATTCTTTGCCTAGGATTTTCTCTATTAGTTCTCTGTGGGGAAGAATATAGGATATATTTCTTTGAGAGTTTTGAGAGCATTGTGAGAGAGATTATGTGCTATTATATGTGAAAGATTGACGGCGAGTTGCATTGTACGGATATGAGTCCAGTGTTTGCAAAAAATGATTGACTCGATTGTGAGTTTTCTGTACTATATTATATTGTATTTTTGATATTTTTATTGAAACTTTCTACATTGTCATTATATGCATCGTAACTAAATTCTCTTTCATGCTCATATGATGTAAGGTTGGTGTTTTTTCTCTATGTTTTCTTTGTGATTGTTTTCACTAAATGTTCTCTATGCTGTGAATTTTGCATGTTGATGTGTTAACCTTTGATTGTCGTTTTTTCTTGATTTGACCAGTTAAAATGTTAAAATCTTTTGTGATTTAAGACTTCTAACTGCTAACTAGAAGTATAAGTAAGTTAACACATACAATGTTGGCTGAGGAGGGCAGGCGGCGGGGGGGGGGGTGAGAGGGGTAGCCAGTGGCTGTAGGCGGCGGTCAACGGCAGGCGACGGGAGGCAGCGGGTAGTGGCGAGTGACAGGCGGGCGGCTGGACTTACTGTTTTCGGTGTTTTAAAAATGGACAAAAACATGTTTTTTTCTGTTTTGAGTATTTTAAAAACCGAAGCGTTTCTTCAAAAAAATAAAAAAAAGAAATAAAAAAAAAATAGATAAACAATTACTGCCTTTTTCTTTGTGTCCTATTTTTTTGTTTTTAAAAACAAAAAACAAAAAAAAAATGATCCCAAACAATCCCTTCGATTTCATGTTTGACTTTTTTTCTATTTTTTTTATTTGTGCTCCTGTTATAGTTCTGTTTGTTCTTTGTTTTTAAAAAGTTCAAAATTAAATAAAAAATTATTGCATCTTTTTATTTCTTTTCTTATGCTTTGCACATGTTATTGTTAGTAGTGTGTTTTCTTTGTGTTTGAATTCCCAATTTTTTGTTTTTGTATTAGATTAGGGTGACTTATGGAAAAACCGTAGTTGCACGTGTAGGAGCTGTTTAGCTAAAAAACCCTTCGAAAATTAGCTTTCATAAGAAACATGGAAAATCAAATTGGATAGTTAGCTAATTCATTGAGTAATGTACCCCGAATGACGATCACCAGTAATGAAATTCAAATGCTTCTTGTGGAATATGATGTAAGTTTTCATCTACAGATGCAAAATCCTCATCGGAGCGTGAGTGGTGTCGTCGTATATAGTTATGCAGAGTCATTGTTGCCACAACTATTTTTACTTGCTTCGGAAATGGGTAGGTGGGCATGTCACGTAATATCACCCACTTCTTCTTCCACACCCCGAATGACATCTCAATGACACCACGTAAAGAGGAGTGTCGTTTGTTAAAAACTTCATTTCTACCACGTGCGACCCCGCTTGACCTCTCAAAGTCCGGAATGTGGTACTTCGTGTCGGCATAAGGCTTTAGATAACCCCTTTGTAAAGAATATTCGGCGTCAACTAGATAATACTTACCTGCACAAACTACATATTTTAGTAACGACTCATGAATATCTGATATATTTGCTATAACAACGTACCATAAGGGGGTATGGGAAGTAATGAGTTCGACGTCTTGTTGCAAATTTAAAAACACGACTATCGTGAGCGCTGTCTTCCCATCCGACCATCACAAATGTAAAACACATATTAAAATCAAACCCAAAATGCCCACCCAATTCGGTGGGGGGAACCCACACCGTCCAATGTAGGCTACTTTGTCGGTTCCAGATACACGTGCATCAACGTGAGTTCCATCAATAGCTTCTATATAATCCTAAATATAAAAATATTTCAATAATTAATGAATGAGAGTTTCAATATAAAAATGTTTCAATAGCTTTTATACAATCCTAAGTTAGTAATAAAATGTTTAAGATGTACCTTGAAAAACGACATGTAACGATTGTCATTCGCAATTTGTGTAGGGATAGATTGAAGTGTGGGATCTTCAGACTTAACTATCTTAGAAGCTAAACTTACCAGTGCATTCAGACCAATGGAGAAATACCTGCTGATAGTCTTTGATGAATGTTGAAATCGCTTCATGGCTCCTCTAATGGACTCATTTTGAGATAAAATATATAGTGTAATTGCTAACACCTCTCTTGATGTCATTCTAGTAGAGTCATTCAAACCATGATGTTGTAGTTCGCAGAGCAGATCAGTGAAAATCTCTTTCGTCATAGAAACATGTTTGCAAAACGTGTCGGATGACTTTGTAGTAACTCACCGACCATTTATCACCAACATATGTTGATGTCATACATGGCATTCGTTCGATGTATGTGAAGTAGTAGTCATATAACAAAGTAAGAATAAGC